GCCTGTTTGAAGGTAATCGATTAAACGCTGGCGACAGGATCCTGTGAATGGCCGCAATGCAGCTGATGCCATTGTGAGAAAATTCGATTTTAACTAGTACTTGAAATAGATGAGATGATAGATGAGAGGTTAAGGATGTTGTGTCTAAATGGTTTTGAACGTTGGTGTGTGTATATATATAGAGATATGGATATGTTTGTAGGTGTATGTATGTATCTGTGGATATATGCGTATATGTGAATGTGCATCATTATAAATTTTAAATAAAATTTATAATCATGTGTGTAACTAGGTGATGTGAGCCCCCATGCTATTAGATTATAATAGCAAATATTGATGAGATAAATAATATAAATGGTAGAAATATGGATTAAATATGGAACATGAATTATGAAATATGAAGGAAGGAATATGAATAATGAATACGAAAGAAATAGAAATAATGAAATTTATGTGAGAAATATGAATCAGTGGTGAATGTGAATTTATAATTGTTGTCGTGAATCATGCTATTCATTTTAATGATCATTTACAGAAAATCATTATAAGTGAATGTGATCATTATAAATGCAGATCATGATTTCATTTATAATCATTCTTATGAAATCGCTTCACTTCTTATTGTCCAGATGTTGTTTTAACATTTTATCTTCTTTACAAATGTATTGAAAGTTTTGTATTTTGTGATATAGACATCACGTCATTCATATATTTTCGTTGTATCCGTTTCATTCATTCCTCATCTCATCCATTCCGCTTAATTTGTTATAAAAGGGTGTTGCTTGCGTTCGATTTCATTATGGGATTGCTTCGGATTTGGCTGTAGTTTGCTGTCGATCTGGTGTGTGTAAACCAAAGTTTAATCTTACGTAGTGAATAGTGGGCTTACACAAAATACCACTACACACGACGCCTATCTTCTGCTCATCCAAATGTTTACCCTTCTCCATTCGCTACAGTGTTGCAATTGTTTCAAGTTTTAAGTAAGATTGGATTATTCACGTAAATAAATGACTGAGAGACAGCTCTGATGAACCAGTTCGAAAAATTCCTGGTATCTTAATGCAATTTTCAATAAATGACTAACTGAACGGAATAATGTTCCTGATGTGTTGG